CCTGTGTATTTAAGCCTCTGATTTTGTCTTGCTGTTTTTACAAAGAGTTGAGTTTGCATGAGTTCATTACAAAATCAGTTGTCTAGATATACACACTTACTTTCTGTTGAATCATAGAATCAGAGAGTTGGAAGAGACTCCAAGGGCCATCTAGTCCAACCTGCTGCCATGCAGAACACAGAATCAAAGCAACCCTGACAGATGGCCATCCAGCCTCTGTTTGAAAACCTCCAAAAAAGGAGACTCTACTACACTTAGACGAAGTGTGTTCCACTGTCAAACTGCTCTTACTGCCAGGAAGTTCTTCCTAATGTTGTGATGGAATCTTTTCCCCCGTTGTTTGCATCCATTGCTTTTTGTCCTAGTCTCTCTAGCTGCAGAAAACAAGCTTGCTCCATTCTCAATATGCCATCCCTTCAAATATTGTTGGTGCCTCCTTTCTCCAGGTAGGTGTTATTCTTTCGCCTTCACTCACCACTGACTTCACCATTGGTGTTGGAGATGTTGTGTTTTTCCCAGTTGGCACACAACACTATATCAAGAGCACATGTGATGAAGACTTGCTGTTCATTTTGGCATTCAGCACTGGAAACCAGGTGAGAAATTGCAATAAGAAGAGCAGTGTTATATAGTGGTTTAAGTGTAGCACTAGTTCTCTGGTAGATCAGGGTTTGAATACCTGCTCAGCTTTGAAAACTCACTGGGTGACATTGGGCAAGGCACATTCTCTTAGCCTCAGAGGAAAGCAATAACAAACTTCTTCTGAACAAGACCTTAGGGTTGCCATAAGTCAGAAATAATTTGAAGGCACACAAAAATAACAACTGGAAACCAGGTGAGAAATCTGCAATGATACCTTACAAATTTGGCAGTGCTTACCTATACTCCCCAGGCAGCAACCTATAATTATTAGTGGGTTGGGGTATTGTGAAGCAGATCAAAGGTCTAAAAGTTATAGATTTATTCTTAAAAAAAAAAGACATGATGGCGAGGGGAACCACTGGCCAAAGGGTAGATGGATGGCTTCAATCCAGCCTACAGTGGGTCCAGGAGATGGCCCTCTCTTTCACAAAAGAACCACATCAACTAGTGGAGAATTTACTGCACCTGTTATTCACCATGTAGTTGATAATGTGGTCAGGGAAAGGGGACAGACATGATAGTACACATCAAGATTAGGAGTGCAAGTTTAAGCAGACTTTGTGGCTATAGCCAGTGGTGAGGTAAAATAGGAGTTGCAGTCCTATGACATTTGGAGGGTTACATTCCCCCCGCCCCAATGACATTTGGAGGGGAGAATCATACTGATGATGGTACATATTGCATAGGTGGCAATTCTGAATATTTTAAAAATACTTGTTAACTTATAATCAAATATGTATATTTTAACCTAACACCATTACTGCCTAAAGAATGTCAGTATTTTCCATTCCCAAATCCAAAAGCTGTTTGTTTGTTTGTTTGTTTGTTTGTTTTTGTGTGTTTTTGCAGCTGCAAACTCTTGATATGGATGACTATTTTCATGCCACAGCAGACCATATATTGGCCCAGCTTTTCTTCAAAAAGCAAGATGAGTTTAAGAAGATTCCAAGGTTTAATGAGGATCAGGCAATTAATCTGCCATAGCAACTTGTAATAACAGCGACTGTAACATCTGCATGAATTCACTGATTGTTAATAAACATAATGCTGCTGCCTTTAATTCTGTATTTCCCTTGGAGAATTTTTTTAAAATTAAAATTATTAAAGGAATCTATGTTCCAATCTTCGCTGTAACAAGAAAAGCTTAATTGCAAAAATGTCATGCCTACATTACAGGCTACAATTAAAGACTCTGAGCTGGTCTAAAATATTGTCAGCCTCTAAGAAGATGTGAACACATTATATTACAGCCTAGCATTTTTCTGGTGGCTTTTGATGTTCTCTCTCTCATTCTCTCTCTCTCTCTCTCTCTATATATATAAACCATATGTATGGAACTTAAAAAGAAAATCCCCTGGAGCATTTGGTAAAAAACTAATGGCACGAAAATTATTTATTTGACTATCAGTTTGAAACTTGGCTGTAGTCTTTGAGCTTAAAAATCCTATATAATAACCATAGAAATGCCAGGAAAAGTCTTTTTGTTCTTAGCAGTTGGTCTTTGTGATGAGATAACAAGTTGGATTGTGAGTTGTCTTTTCTTTAAGGAAGGAATCCTTCTGTTTGTCAAAGGGACTGGCAAGCCAGTGGAGGTTCCTGCTGGTAGAAGGCAGAGAAAAGCAATTTTGGTTGGTTCTCCTGTGCTATCCTCCTAATCAGATTTTCAGGAGGTTTCAGAAAAAAGAGGAGTTACTTTGTTTCAATTAAGCTAGACCATTTGATCCTTGATTTTTTTCCCAA